TGCAGAGGAAGCTGATGGAGATGGAAAGCAGTGGGGAGACACGGTGTAGCAAAAAGCGAGTGAGAAAAAAAGGATGTCTTCTTTGGAAAGCTGGGCATGAGACTCAGTAAGACCTGATCCCCCAAGACCTTTTAAGGGTAAACCTAGAAGAATAATTCAGAGAGGAAAAATGGAATCCAGTTGGCAGAGTTCCAACAACTTTGTCATTCTTCCTCAATGACAACAGAGCCACCCATTTGAATGTGAGCAGCTCAGTCCCTGACATGCTACATGAGCAAATAAAAAGGAGAGCAAAGATGAAGTTGGGAGAAGCCCCAGGAATCCAGCCTGCACCAGTGTTGGGAACCTGGAGGACTTAAAAATGCCGCCCCCCCCCAAGCCTGGAAAGTCCTCCCTGAGCTCCATCTGTTGAAATTACAACCTGCTAGATTCAGAGACTTCAAAGTCCTCAGAGATTGTCTGGTGGAACTCTGGTTTTTCCAATAAGAACAGTCAAGTCCAGCAACACTGGCCTTTCCCAGAGGTCACACAGCACTCTCAGTGTGGGGTGGGGGTGAGGGTGGCAGAAAGAAGGCCTCCTACAGAAGGTGGGGCTTAAATGGCTTTTTGAAAGTTTTTTTTCATTAAGAAATATTTCTTTTCACTTCTTCCTCTCCCCCTTTCCCTCCTCTCCCACCTGGAAAAAGAAAAAAGAAAAAAGAAAAACAACACCCTTGTAACAAACACTGCCAAGAAAAACAAATTCCCATATTGACCATCCCCGAGAATGTGTGTCTCATTCTGCAGATATAGGCAGGCTTTGGCACATGCCCAGATCACCTAAGATGGAGGCACACATGGGGGACATGCCAGGGACCTGCTTCCATGAGAAAACATTCTGTGATCACCTACCACATGGGTGGGAGCAGCCTCTTTTCAGGGCAGCTAAGTGGGGCAGTGGAGACTCATCTTCCTGAGTTTAAATCTGCCCTCAGACATTTACTAGCTGCGTGACCCTGGGCAAGTCACTTTACCCTGTTTGCTCAGTTTCCTCATCTGTAAAATGAGCTGGAGAGGGAAACTGCAAACCGCTCCCGGATCTTTGCCAAGAGTTTAAACCCCAAATGGGTTCTCGAAGAGTTAGACACCATTTAAAGGACTGAAGAACAAGAACAAAAGCCTTTTTCCATTGGCTGAGTAGCTGGAAGTGGCTGCATCTTTAAAACTAGCAGACTGGAATAGTCACTCTGTCTGTCTCTGTCTCTGTCTGTCTCCAGGTGGATCAGATCTTCTTATTTAGCCACAGCATGGGCACCATGCCCACAGATACCTTCCCATGCCCTTAGGTCTTGTGGCCAACAGCCTTGAGATTTTGGGCTGTTTTACCTGTCCTTTACAATTCTAGGTGCAGGGAGTGGAGTTGTCAGACCTGGGGGCTTGAGTCATGGTGACCCTGGAGCCTAGGATTCCAGGCTGGCTATTGCTACCCACACAGCAGGCAAGCCCTGAGAAGCCAGGATCCTGGGGCACAAGCCCAGGGATGCTTTGGACATGGAATCTGGAAGGATTCATGCTGTGTAGGAACTGAGCTAAATTTTGAACTTAATGTCTCTCTCTCTCTCTCTCCATCTGTCTGTCTCTCTCTCTCTCTCTCTCTCTCTCTCTCCCTCCCTCTCCATCTCACTCTCTCTCAATTTTGCCTGAGCCTGAAGTGGTTGAGGGAGATTATGCCCTTGGCTGTCGGGGGATAAATCTGTGTTCTTACTATAGCTTTGAAGTCAATGTTTCTTTGTTAAAGATAAGCGGCTAAGTGGTTAGTTAAAACAGGGTGCTTAGACTCTTGAAACTGGGGGACCACAGTTGGTAGGGACTTGGCCAATGCCTGAGACAAGAGAAACTCTCCTCCTCCGTCCTCCTTAAGGGCATGGAGAACCCTAGGGGGGAATGAAATGTAAGAGTCCGGGTGCTCAGGCAGTCGGGGCCAGAGTAGTGGCAGTTACAAGTCTATCTCCTCTGTTGAAGCTGAGTCTTGAAGGAAGCCAGGAGGGACAGCATTCCGGTCCTGGGGCGTAGCTATTTGGATGGAAGAGGCAGGGAGTTGGCAGATGGAGAGAGAGCGTGAGGAACAGAAGGAGAAGAGGCAAATGGAAGACGACTGCAACCGGAGGAAGGGGCCAGGCTGGGAAACAGCATTCTCTACTTAGTGCAGGTCTGATCACGTCTCCTCCCCTCCATAAGCTCCAGTGGCCCCCGTTAACTCTAGGATCAAATACAGATCTCCTGACTTGCATGCAGAGGCTCCACCCTCCCCTTCTGCCTTCCTGCCCCCTAGAGTCCAGCCCAACTAGTCTGCAGCCCCTTGCGCAGGCTCGTCTGCTGTCCCGGGGCTGGGAATGCTCCCCCACCTCACCATCCCCTCTTGGAAATCTCACCGGCCCCTTTTGTAAGTGCCCTTTTCTGGTCCCTTCCCTCAAACCCCTCCCCAGCTGTTAGGGCCTTCTTCACTCGGAAAAAAGATCGTTTTCTTCTGTGTATAGTCTGTAACCAATTCTCCAGGCACATGGTATGTCTCTCAAGAGAGTGGCAGCCCCTTGAGAAGAGTCTTGCAGTTTCGGGGCTGTGCAGTGCCTGGTGCCCAATGAAGTTCAGTTAATTGACAGTCTGACACACGGTCCAGCCCTTAATCAATACTGTGGAATCGAATGAATTCAAAGTTCTCTCTGTTGTGGATTTCTGTACGCGGTGACTTGTGGAGGATGACTTGGGAAATGGAGAAGCTGGATGCTGACTGTTCCCAGGAGAAGGCTGGCGCTAGAGTCCAGTGGGAGGTGGTGGAAGAAGCCGGTGGGCACAAGTGGTGGCAAGGAGGCAGATTCAGGGTCGGAGATCAGGAAAACATGTCAGACTTTCCCACCAGGATCACTCCCGCTGAAGCACCTCAGGGCTGGCTGAGCTCCCCCTGAAACTACTCTGTATCTAAGTCACATGCGCTCTGTGTCCACAAACTCTGTTGTTTCCTCAATAGAATGTAAGTTTTTTGAGGACAAGAATTTGTCATTGCCTGCCCAGGACCTGAACAGCTGCCTGACTGGTCCCTGGGAGGAGGTCCTTACTGAAGGTTTGTTGATTGACCGTTGGCTGGCAGCTTTCTAGGGATCCCGGTCCAGACCGCGGTGGACCAGAAATTCTACTCAGTAGATGGCCCCTGGGCCCATTCCCACTCTCAAGTTCTCTGCGATTTTTTTAAACCGTTTGGGAGTAATTGTTCAGAATCTCTGTCCAATTACTTTTTGGTAAAAAGTCGATCACAGATTTTGACAATCGTCTCCCTCCCCCTCCACCGTCCCTCGTAACGAGGAATTTGTCCTCAGCGCCTTTTTCCGAGCTCTTGAGGATCGACTCTCAGAAGCGTTGGCCGGCTTTTGCTTCCCTGTGTGACTCTGGGCAGGTTCTGCAAGCTCTCTGGGCCTCATTTAACAGGTGAGAAAAAGGCCCTCCCCCTTCCCTCCCCCTTCTGCCGCCCCGCTGGCGCTGGCACCGCCTCCACGTGTGCCAGCCCACAGGGTGGAGGTCCGCTCTCCAAGTCGGGTGGGATCCAAGCCGACGCCTGGATTCCAATTCGCAGGCGGAGCGCCAGGGCCTGCCGCGGGCCTCCGTGCTCCCGGTGTGGAGATGGAACCTCCCACTGGTCTCCCAGTGTGGAGATGGAACCCCCGGGGATCTCCAAGCTGCTGCTGGGTTCCACCATTGCCCAAACCTGCCCTTTCCACGGCATCCCCGACACCTAACACGGCGCACGCCCATGCACCAGGTCGAGGGCAGCCTCGGTGGGGAGGAGAGGGGGCCCCCCGCCCCGGCCCCCTGCCCACCAAGGCGCCCCTCCCGCTGAGGGCCCCCAGCTACCGAGGCACCCCTACACCCACCCCAGGTGGACAGTGGGCCCCTGGCAGGCGGCAGGACGCCCCCCTGGACACGCCCGAGAGGGCAGGGACCCACGCCCACATGCGGGTGTGCGCGGACTCGGGCACTGGCGCACCCCCTCCAGCCACACGCGCGGAGCGGGGAAGGCGATGCCGTGGGCTCCCGCCCGCCCTGGCCTGGGGAAGGTCTCAGCTCCCTCTCCCGCGCGACAAGCTCCGCCCACCCCGTCGGTCCCGCCCCCTCTCTCCGCAAGCTCCCTCCTCCCACTCCAGACCCCGCCCACCACGTAGGCCACGCCCCCTAACCGCCCCCCCCCCCGCCCGCCCTGGCGAAGGTCTCAGTTCCCTCTCCCGCGCGACAAGCTCCGCCCACCCCGTCGGTCCCGCCCCCTCTCTCCGCAAGCTCCCTC